CCAGTAAAAACAAAAACAAACAAATAAAAAACTGCCTTTTCCATGATGGAAGTGGCCCAGGCAATCAACCTGTCACCGAGTTGCTGGCTGATGTCCTTGGTCCCGTATCTCAGGGGCTCCACACTGGCAGTACCCAAAGGGCCTTGGTAAACGGAAGTCTATGATGTTGAGCCCAGATATCACCTTCATCCCTGCCACGATGGCCACGCTGGTCATAAGCCGGCTGGGAAATGAGGAGGGTAGTGCCCTAAGAACGTGCCAGCCTGCTGCTATGAGGCATCGAGTCAGTCCTGACTCATAGCAACCCAATTCCTCACAGAACCAAACACCGCCCAGTCCTGCGCTGTCCTCACAATGGTTCCGGTGCCCGTGCCCACTGTTGCGGCCACTGTGTCAATCCATCTTGTAGAGAGCCTTCGTTTTTGCTGCCCTGCTCCTTTACCAAGCACGGTGCCCTTCTCCAGGGACTGGTCTCTCCTGACAACATGTCCAAAGTACGTGAGTCGAAGGCTTTCCATCCTTGCCTCTCAGGAGCACTCCGGCCTTCCAATACAGATTGGTTTGTCCTTTTAGCTGTCCATATACTTTCAATTTTCTTCTCCAGCCCCACCGTTCAAATGCGTGGATTCTTCCTTATTCATTGTCCAACTTTCACATGCATGTGCGACATGGCTTGGGTCAGGCGCATCTTAGTCCTCAAAGTAACAGCCTTGCTTTCAACCCTCTAAAGAGGTCTGGTGGGGCAGATTTGACTAATGCAACCTGTCTTTGGATCTCCTGACGGCTGCTTCCATGAGCATTGATTTTGGAACCAAGTAAGACAAAATCCTTGACAACTTCAATCTTTTCTCCATTGATCATGGTGCTGCCTATTGGTCCAATGTCTTCCTTACATTGAGTAACAATCCGTCCTGGAAACTACAATCCTTGATCTTCATCAGGAAGGATTTCAAGTCCTCCTCACAGCAAGCAAGGTTGTGTCATCTGCATAAAGCAGGTTTCATGAACCTCCTCCAATCCTGATGCCACACGCTTCTGCACGTAGTCAAACTTTTCTGATGATGTGCTCAGCGTGCAGGTTGAAGAAGCATGGTGGGAGGATACAACTTTAACACACACCTTTCCCGATTTTGAGCCATGCAGCATTCCCTTGTTCTGTTCACACAACTGCCTCATGGGTCATGTACAAGTTCCTCATAAACATAACAAAGCATCTGCAGTTCTCCTTATTCTCAAGTTAGGGTCCACAGTCGAAGACCTGGGTGTCTATACTATACAAGCAAACATCTTCATGGCATTCTTTGCGTTCAGCCAAGAGCCATCTGACATCAGCAACGATATCCTCGGCCCCACATCCTCTTCTAAACCTGGTCTGAACTTCTAGCAGTTCCCTGTCAATGTACGCCTTCAACCATTGTTGGATGATCTTAGGTATTGTGGGTGATCTTGTTCTACAGCTTAGCATTCTTCCGGGTCTCCTTCCTTTGCAATGGACACGCACAAGGGTCACTGGTCACCTGGCCAAGTAGCTGTCTTCCAAACTTCCTTGCACAGGTATGTGAGTGCTTCCAGTGACTTGTCAGCCTGTTAAGACATTTAAATTGACATCCCATCAATTTCTGGGGCCTTGGATCTAATGCTTTCAGGGAAACTTGAACGTCTTCCTTCCGCCCATTGGTTCTTGCTCATATGCTCCCTCCTGGAGTGGTGGATCGCCAACTTCTTCTTGGTACACCGACTGGGTATCCTTCCCACCTTCTCTGGATGCTTCCTGCACCATTCAGAATTTCGCCCATAGTCTTTCAAGATTGCAATTCAAGGCTTGACTTTCTTTTGAGTTTTCAGTCTCAGATACGCGGCGCGTCTTCGCCCCGCCTGGTTTCTAATTCTAGGTCTTTGCACGGTTCGTCATCATATTTGGCTGCGTCTCCTCGAGCAGGCCTCTGACAGTTTCTACTCAGCTGTTCAACTTCACTTCTTCCACGTGCCTTGGCTACTCTACAATTAAGAAAAATTCCAGAGTCTCCTCTGACGTGCGCTTTGATCATCCTACCCACTTGATGAGTTAAGTCCTCCTCTGCTGCTAAGGGTGTTCTAGCTCCTGCAGCAGGGGTCCAGCAATGGCCACAGAACTCGGACAATCCTCTTGATGAAGGGGTCTGTTCAGGAAGTTAACAGGCTACAAACAGAGGCAAAGTGCCCAGGGACCGTTCACTCAGGACGCAGTACCAAGCCCTGTGAGGGCTGCTGATGACATGGCGGAGGGCACGCCCTCTGCTGGAGACCTCGACCCCAGGGCGCCCAGCTCCTGCTCTGTGTATGGTGCGCTGAGCTCCCCAGCGAAGTGCCCAGAGGCTGCCCCTCCACAAGCCCAAAGCACTCAGCTTTACTTGCTCCGTAGGTTTGGGAAGTCCGCCCCGCTGTTTTACCTCTGACTCCTGGTTCCGCTGCTGTCTTCTGGATCAAGGAAATTTACTGCGCAGCAATCTTGGGGTCCAGAGGGCCTCGCTTCACACCTGGCTCTTGCCTGAGATCCCCTCTTCCTCCCTCTGGGAAAGTTCGTTTTATACGCCGCAAGACGGTAAGCGCAATGAATCCTCTTAACAACCCCTCACAACTCCATCCTCTCAGGATCTTCCCCTGCCTTCTCTTACCCAGACCCTCAGCAAAGGGTTGTTTGGTGCAGGTCGGAGAGACTATGGCTAGACGAGTCACATGAAGTAACCTGCGGCCCGGCAGTAAGCATGCCCATGACACACACATAGACTGACTTTGGGGGCACATTCAGAGAGGGCTGCTGGAGCCCAGTCTTGTAAATACCATTTGCAGTTAAGCTTGGAACTTCAGGACTCCGTGGGCCAGGTAACAGCCAGCCGTGATGTGCAGCGCAGGCCATATGGTGCTGGGGGGCCTGTGGTTAGGTGTTCAGTCTCTACTAAGGGGCAGTGACCAGCCAAAAGCTGTTTCTCAAAAGAAGAGTTGGTACCTGCAGAGCATGACAGGGTTCTGGTCCAAAATCCGAATGGTCTGTACTGTGACTCACCAAGAGGGTCCTGCCAAGGGGCCCCCAATGGCATGTTAGCCACGGGCACTTCAAACAGCAAGTGTCGGGTGGGCGCCTGGGATCGGAGCTGTGGAGCAGACTGCACGGGGCCCACATCTGTTGCAGCTGTCTGGTTCAGAGCCCCACTCAAAAGTAGCCGCCTTGCGTCACTTGATAAACAGGCCAGAGAGGCATACCCAAATGAAGAGATGTTGTCTCCCAAACCCAGAGAGGCCCGTCAAGTACCTCGTCTCTTCAGTTGTGGGAGGGGCAGATGCAACAACGTGTCCTCCACGTTAGTAGCATCCTGACGTGCCCATGCCACTGCACCCCTAGACATTTCACTGTGGTAGAAGGTGGCTGGATTTTTGTCAGGTTAATGTCTGGAGTCGGTGGGTCATGGGACATTTTGCGAAAGGGAAAGGTGATCACAGTCCTTGGACACTACATCAGGACACGGTGTTGGTGAGCTGACCTACCCGAGGTTGAATGGTGAAGGTGCATCAGTGGCCTTGCTCGCTGAAGGCCAGTGCCTTCTGGCGGTCCTTCTAAACCAGAATTGAAAAGGCTAGGTCCATGGCTGTACACCGAGTAACACGCTTTTGTTCTGTTGTTGTGTCTTTGGGTTGGTTCCAACTCGAAGTGGCTTTATGTACAGCCGATGTACACACTGCCCGGTATCATGCCATCCTGATAGTCCCTGTGGGTTGAGCCCACTGGTGCAGCCACTGCGGCCATCTATCTCCAGGGTCTTCCTCTTTTTCACCGACCCTGTACTTTCTGAGCATGATGTCCTCCCAACCCACGGATACACCCCCCCCCCCCAGATGTGTTGATTTGCCCCAGCAATGAAGCCACAGCGGGACTATGACATGCAACCAGGGTCAGCACCAGACTGAGTTTACAATAACGTACAGCGATTCAAGATCCATCTACTTTTGTGCCTGGTGTGGGGGGGACCACCAATCTCTGCAATCCCTCCGGGAATGCAGTGCTACCTTGGCTGACTATCTTTCTAGACCGAGGCTGCTCTCCTGGTGTCTCCTGTTAACAGTCATCCTGATTCCACAGCAGGGACCCGGGACGTCAGTTGTTGGGTCTGTCTGTTCCACTTATGCTCTCTGGAACTTGAGACCTGTGGTGGGATGGGTTTGGGGACCCACTGGGCTCAGGACAAGATGGAACTGAGCTCACATGCCCTTCACATGCCCTGTGACTGGTGGGCCAGTGACGTTTTGGGTCTCCTGGAACTTGTGTCCATTCAGAGCCAGTTTCTAGTAACTCCGCCCCACCCCCAATATCATTTCCTTTCCCCCAATAGTCATTCTTGTGAGAGGCTGTAGATCCCTTTGTGGGAGGAAGAGGGAGAGATGAGCAGTTATCAATCTGGGAGATGTCGTGGTATAGGGGCTAGGGTTGTAAATGAGCTCGTTTGGGGACTGATGGTCGGATTCTCTATTCCTAGGACTCCAGCTAGAGTGCCCTCATACAGATGAAGGGAATACCTGGCACGTTCCCAACCTATTTCAGTGCGAGGAATGCCCTGCTCAAGTAGCCGACATCACAAGCCCATGCGAGTCAGCGATTCTGATCAGTACATCGACTCTGCTGTCCATTATGGGAACCACGACCACCCGTCTTTGTTAACTCAGTGCTGCCTCTTGGCATCTACAGCACAGGGACAAATCCGCCTCACTATAGGCAGATGCTTTATTCAATTTGAGTCACACGGTTCACAGTTCAAATCTACCAGCTGCCCCACCAGCGAAAGATGAGGGTATGTGCTACCATGATGATTCGCAGCCTTGGCAAACGTAGAGGGGGTCTTGAAGAGACAACTGACACGATGGCACAGACATGGGGATTCTACATGAGCACTTCACCAGACAGAACACACAGGCATCGAACTGACTACATCGAGGAAAGAGGTAATAGCATCAGCCAAAAGGAGGCCAACTGAGGGACAGGCCAGCAATTTAATCATCTGTACATACAGTGAAGTTGAAGAAAATTAAAACAAGTCCACCAGACTCAAAATCTGACCTTGAGTCTATCCCGTCTGACTTTAGCGAACTGTACGGCAGGCTCATCAACCCGTGAGATGCAGATGACACACCTTACTTACTGAAATCGAGGGCTGTGGGCACCTACTGCAGCATTCAGTATGTAAAGGAAACCCAACTGCTCACAAGGGGACCAACAGACGACATCATAAGCAGAGAAAGGGCTGAAGTTGTCAGGGGTGTCCCGTGGCTTGGCTCATAAGCAGTGCTCATGGAAACAGCCGTCCAGAGATGAAGTGGTGCACTGCGCTGGGTAAATCCGGGGCACAAGACCTCTCTGAAGTGTTGGAGAACCAGGATGTCATTTTGAGGACGAAGCTGTGCCTGACTCAAGCCCTGATTGGTCCAGTAACTATGAGAGCTGCACAGGGACTAAGGAGTCCGACAAAGAAGGGGTGTCTTGGAGCGATGCTGTGAAGAATTCTGGGAGTCCCACGGGCGACCAGGGAAAAACAAACCCAACTGCCTGGGAAGTGCAGTTAGCAGGCTCCTCAGAAGCAAGGGCGTGAGACTGTGTGTCCCATGTCACCAGGAGAGAGGCGTCCCTGGAAAAGGGCACCATTCTTGGAAAGCAGAGGGACGCCCAAAAGAGGAGGATCCTTGACAAGTCGGATGGACAGCGTGAGTGCAGACGTCCTTGTGGGGATGGGGCAGGGCTGGCAGTGTTGTGCTGTTACACTCAGGGTGGCTCTGCGTCAGGGCTGCTGTGACCAGACCCAAGCACCACCACCTCCCGCCCTGATCACAATCACGCTGCTCTCTCCGCTACCCCTTCGTGTTGGCTGTTCCCGTCAGGTCAGTGCTGAGCTGTGGAGCGCTTGTGGGCAGTAGTACGGATGGAACGCGGTCTGGTCCAATGATCGCTGCTGGGCCCCCGCGGAGGGCCCTGAGCCCCGAGCATTCTCCGTCATCACGGCAGTACCCCGCTGGAGTCCCCGCACATTCCTCTGAAATCCGCCCGCCCGTGTGACAGCAGCATTTCTGTGGTTACACGCGCCCCGTGATGAAACCCAGAGGAGAGTCGGCCGGAGAAGTGATTTCACACAGTCAGACGTTCACTGACTATATTTCACGTTCACGGTTTCTGCATGGAGAGCAATCCTACGGACGTGTGTGACTCTCTGAGGGGAAAGGCACCTTTATATTGCAGGTAGAGGCCTGAGAACAGGCTCAATGAAGGCTTACCCTCCCTGGACTAGGACGATGCTGCTCTACTGCGGTGCTGTGAGCCCGGCCCGGGTGACGCACTGTGTACAAAGGTCTTTGACAATTTTAGAAAAATGTTCCCAACAGGAGGGCGAGTCCCACTCTACGTGGATGTTCGTGGAGAGTCATGTGATGCTGAAAGACCCCACAGGGTCGGGCAGGGCTGCCCGGGGCCTGACCGAGCTGGAGAGGCTTGGCTGTGAGACTTGCTGTTCCACACGAGACTTGCCCCGCACAGCTCCTGGGGCTGCCCGGAGTGCAGCGGTCAGAAAGCCCTTGGGGGCAGTGACAGCCAGCAGGTGTGTCTCTTCTCCAGCAGCGGTATTTCAAAGTCTCACGTTGTTGAGAAGAAGAGCAAAGTTTCAGATATGTTCCTCACGTGCCACTCCCAGATATGACAACCACACCGACGTCTGGTCACCCTTCCTGTCCAGCTCCTGGAGACGACGGCGTCACCTTTCCTGCGTGCATCCCCCGAGGTGGGCAGACCCTAGAGGAAGCAGGGAGATGTGCGGTTAGTCTCGAGAACAAGCAGTTCACGCTGTCCTGGAGTGACACTCATTTTAACACCATTGGAGAAAACGTGGCTGCTAACCGCTGCCCACCGAGAAGGTAGGCTGGTAGCAGAGCCGACTGGCTTAAGCATACTGAGTTTCTGTATTTCCTGTGCCACAGCGACAGAGAATGTTACGGAGGGCAACATGGAATCTTACTACTGTCAAAGCTAATAAAGAGAGGCTCAGATGCACAGTTCTTAGAAGCATCTGCCTTCTCATCCCGGCTCTTGAGATTTCTCTTTTGAAAAACGAGCGTTTCATCTTACAGATCACCAAGTCCACTTGCCTGCTGTGTGCTGCCGCTGCAGAAGGCCAGCTATGCTGATGGGCGGCCCCCGCGCCGCAGCCTGCGAGGAGGGGGTGCTCTGGGAGTCTCGGAGGCTGGGGCTGTTGTCCCTTCTTGCAGCTCTCCCTTCTAATGGTGGCGTCCATGACAGTCCCTTGAAGGGGAGTTGCAGTGTTGGAACCCTGGCAAGAGAGTCAGCACACAGAACGTGACCTCTCCTGTCAGGAACGTTCAAGAGTGGGGCTGCTTTGTAAAGACCACTGGTGGTTCTTCCCTTTCAAAGTGTGTCCTGAGCACCCAGGGCAAGCAGGGCACCCCCCGCCCCCCGCTGGGGTCCTGTCACCAATGGACACATGTCGCTGTGACCAACCCCCCTCTAATCAGACACGAGTAAGTCAAGAGTTGGTTAGCATCCAGCCCTTTCCCAGGCATCTGTATGAGCCTCGCCCTGCAGGCCAGCTGGCGTGCGGCACGCCCTGAGCGTCCTCCGGGCTGTTCTGTGAGGGCTGCACAGCCCAAGGCTCCTCCAGTTCCCACAGCAGCATCTGCGACCACGCTGTCCATGGGGTGGAGACTGGCATCAACCAGCTCTCCAGCGCACCCCCACTTGCTCCACGTCCCTACTTAGACCCTTTCTTTGCAAAAAGGTAGTCCTGAGCTGCCCACCCCCTGGCCCGTGACCACCCCTACTCCGCGCACGTGCTGTCTGTGCACCCAGCAGGACAGATGATGAGGGAGGGGCCTAGACAGGGCCCCAGCAGCACTCCCAGTGTGGTATGGGGCTGGGGACAGATGCTGTGGCTGGTCGGTGCCTCAAGGGGACGTCAAGGAGAGGAGGCGGCTGTAGCGGTCGTGTCCCAGAGAAAGCTTCCCCCAGGCACAGCAGGGGTCTGTCTCATGGATCTACGCAGCCGGTGAGAAGGCACGGTGGCTTGGGCCTTGCACACTCTGGATTCTAGGGGTGGCAGAGGGGCGCTTGAGGGCATGCTGGGGGCATGTTAAGTCCAAGAGTGGTTAAGTCCACATGTGGACTTAACACGTGCAATGGTGTCTACATGGCCAGCAGAGCCCAAACCATGTGCTCTCTGGCCCTTTGCAGACAGTGTTTTGCAACCTGGCCTTACGTCCATGCTGAAGTACCGGGCAGGCCTTACGTCCATGCTGAAGTACCGGGCAGGCCTTACGTCCATGCTGAAGTACCGGGCAGGCCTTACGTCCATGCTGAAGTACCGGGCAGGCTTACGTCCATGCTGAAGTACCGGGCAGGCTTACGTCCATGCTGAAGTACCGGGCAGGCTTACGTCCATGCTGAAGCACCGGGCAGTCGCTAACGAGGCGTTCTTCCCATTGCTCTACTTCTGCTTCAGAAACCAGCTGTGCAGCAGCATCGACGGCCACTCTCCACGGGGCAGCAGGCAGGTCTGCCAGGGGACGGTGACTCTGGGGAGGCGTATGCCTGAGAACTGGCTACCGTTGGCAATCAGAGGGCAGCACTGACCCAGGGATACCGCTCAGAGGGTTTAGCCGAGGAGGAGTGCTGGAAGCAGGGGCCACAGGGAGGTGGCAGGAGAAGTGAAGTGTCCCTTGTGGGCACCGCAGTGAGTGAAACCAATCAACCAACACACGTGTATGGAAAACTGATCTCTGGAAACGGTCCCCAAAGCCACAATATAGTTACTGTTGGGTTTTGTTTTTAGAGTAACAATACATGTTTTATATATCTTAAGCAAATTTTAAACTGAAACTGTAAAGATTCTGGTAGCCAGAGAACTAAAAACAGTATATATAAAACCCCCAATCCTAAAACCCCAAATACCCAGCCCCTACCCGCCCGGCATCGTCCAGTTTCTAGTTTGGGTTACTGAGCAGCGGCTGTCTGCCTGGGGCAGGGTGGTCTGTGTGGGATGGAATCGGTACACAAGCTCAGGTTACGGGGGTGAGGTGCGTGCGGGAGAAGCAGCTAAGAAAAGGAGTGGGAGCGTCTGTAGAACGTGTTGAGTGTCATCAGTGCCACTACGCTGCCCGGACGGAACCACTGCAGTGGTGGACATTCTGCTGTGGATGACTGACAATGAAGGGGATGGTTGTGAACCCCTACAAGGCCCCTATACAATGCAGCATGTGAGCCACCCTGCAGAGCAGAGCAGGGCAGGGCAGCACTGCGGGGCACACTGGAACGGCCAGATCCGGAGTACGCTCGCCTGTCCAGGTTTTCAGACAAAGCACCTTTAGCAGGTTGCACGTGAGGTCTACCTGAGAGGCTTCGGCAAGCTCGCTGGACTTGGCGTGAGCCCAAGGTGCTGGAGGCCTCCGTGGGAAACGCTTCCTGTGGTGGGAGGGTGAAAAAGACCTTGTTCACATGAACAGACCACTGTACTTTGCGGCGGCAGACGGAACAAGCCTGTGTGTCTGTGGGGTTTTCCTGTCTCCATCCTGCCATTAGGAGGCCCCTCCTGAGGGCCCGTGCACCCCTCCCCCCATGGTGGGAACGTGAGTGCTTCCCTGCAACCTGCTCCCAGCCCACTCCTCTGGCACTGAGAATCCTGCAGTGTCTGGATGATTCCGGGGGACTAGAGCCAATGAGTCCTATCGAGTACCCAGCTCAGGTGCTCTCTGGAACACAGAGGGTGCCCCCGACAGGTCTGGCGATGGCACTGCCCTCTGCGCGGCTGGGCGTGGACCCCGCGCTCCCCAGGAGCAGCTCCTCCAGCCCAGACCTGGGGAGCAGAGCCAGGCTGGGCTAACGTGGAGGACCCCGAACAAAGCTACCGACACAGCGAGCGCTTCACACCATGTTCGTGCCGCCTGCTGGAAGGTTCAGGGTGAGCACGACACTGCTCTTAAAATGATTCCTACAGTCCCTCCTCTGCTTTCACCAGCACAGGGGAACTGGGGAACGCGGCTTTTCCGTAATAGGTGGAACCCTTTGGGTCCCGGTCCTGGGGCACTTTAACAGAAACAAAGGAAGAGAAGCAGCTGGGAGCATCGGCTGGGGTGACAATGTTGTGGGTTGAATTGGGTCCCCAAAGATGTGTGTTGTAAGCTCCAACTCAGGGGTCCTCAAACTTTTTAAACAGGAGGCCAGTTCACTGTCCCTCAGACCCGTTGGGGGGCCGGGCTATAGTTTTTTAAAAAAAAACTATGAACAAATTCCTATGCACACTGCACGTATCTTATTTTGAAGTGAAAAACAAAACGGGGCAAAAACACCCAGCGGCCTG